ATGGCATTAACCATTCCACCAAGTCAGATAAACGACTTCTCAATGCGCGCACACCACCTTTCTGCTCAAATGAGACGTGAAAACGACACAGGAAAACAGGCAAGAGAGAAAGAGAAAAAGAGACTGGCACGTTGGCGGGAAAAATGTATTTGTATGCAGAGGCGAAAACGCATGCCAAAAAGTGTATCTGCGAGTCGCAACGTTGTCTGCAATCGAATCCAAGAAAAAAAAGGTAGAGAGAGGGAGAGGGGAGAGGGGAGAGGGAGAGAGAAACAGAAACAAAAGCACTGTAAAGGTCTTTTTTGCCTTCCTTTTTTTTTAGGAAGACGAGTGTTGCTTTCCCCCAGCTCGTGTGTATTTATATCGGATCCATTGAGGAGAAAACAACAACAAAAAACAGAAAACAGGCACCGTGAAAAAAATAATACTCGCACACATCTTCTTTCTCCTTCGAGGCACCTACAAATGATTTTTTTTTTCAAAAAAACCCAACAAGGTTCTCTCGAATCATTCAGCTGACGAGACGATTGTTTTTATTATCATTCTTATTACGTATTTTTGAGAGCTACATTAGTGTAGACATTGGTGGGAAAAAAGAAAAATCGAAGGGGAAGGGGGAGACATGGGCAAATTCGATCGGAATAATAGAGGCTACGGTGGGAAGACGAAAAGGAGAATTTTCGAAGTAGCCAGAGACGAAAAAGAAACACACGGCGAACACAATCTGCGGACATCGCTGACTTCCTTCTTTGATTTTTCTGTGGCACTTTCCCTTATTGATTTTCTCCACTGCTCCCACCTGTCCGCAGTGAGGATTCGCCGTCAAAATAACCTACTCGTCCACATGGCGGGTGTGCTTCAAACGTCCATCCCTTTCCCTGAAACATCAACATAAATATGTATGAAAATAATTCATGAATAGATTCTGTTTGACGTCACGGGCTCCTCCCCCCAAAAGGAATTGAAAGTAGACTCGTCAACGTACCTTTATTTGAAGAAAGCAGAAAGGAAGATAAGTGATGATAACACTTTTCTGAGGGTGGAGTGCGGCACCGTCAAATTCGTGGCAAGAGCAACGAATGACAAGTGTGCTATCCGAAGTAGTCACAACAACAATAAGAGAGAGAGAGACGAAATAGGTGAATGTAGATTCATTCCATTCAGCTCAAGAGGAACGGAAGTTCATGCGAAACGAAGATATTACTGCCCATCAATAAATGCTAAAGGCACCGCTTTTAGGCCATGAGTGACAGAAAACGAAAATCCTCAAGTGATGAAGGAAGGGGAGAGAGAGAGGGTGGGTGTGTAAGGATAAAAGTATACTTTTATATAAAAGCGCGCACGGCGCACTCCGATTTAACGCAGAAAAAAACAAGAAGGAGACAAGAGAGATCAAGCTTGCACCTTCCACGCACGTTGCACATCACGCTGAAATAATAGCAGCTACTATCGTGAGATTGGATTCAAGAAAACTGACAAGTCGGGTGTGGAGAGAGCGAAAGACCGGAAATATAGAAAACCTCGTAACACACAAAAGAAGAAGCAGAAACGAAGTGCAAGTCAAGTCCCGGGAAAAGGATTGGAGTATGAAGGAGACTTGGGGACGTTCACGAGGAAGCTAAGAAAGACCGTTATTTATGAGGAGAAACAAGAGAAAAAGAAAGGAAAAGGAACGAAATGCGAACAAGATACGAACGCATCAACTCACCGCGTCTCGTCGCGCGCAACGTCGATAAGTCATTCGTACTTCATTTTCTGAACGATCAGTACGGGCTCGGAGGAGAACGTGGCTGAACTGCACGAGATCTCGTCGCCAACAAGAATGCAAAGAAAGGGAAAAGCAAGACAGAAATAAAACGCGAAGCGAAATAAAAATAATAGCAGAGGAAAGATTCTTTGTTAATGTAGTGAGATACCAGACACACACACACACACACACGCAACGGCTGCTATGCGAACTACAAAACATGGAAAGTAGAACAGGTAGGTAAGAGAGAACAAATACAGATACATCGAACCGTCACTGTGTTCGCCAGTACTGCGCGTACTGTATACTGATAACACGCTAGGCAACACGAATTCAGAAAAACAAGAAGACCAAAAAAGTTAGTTACGTGCTTTCTCAGCACGAAGATAATCTCTCTATATAAAAGTGTACACTAAAAAGGTCAATAGAAACCCCGCGAAGAGAAGGGGAGATATAGATGGCACGCGTAGAGGATATAACGTGCGGCAGGGACAAATACAAAAGAAGAACTATTGAAAAACAACAACAATTTTTTGTTTGGAAAAAAAAAGAAGAGCTGAAATACTCATTAAAACCCGGTTTTGTCTCAATTTTTTGTTTTTCCTCCTCTGCCAATGTTGAGATCCTTTCTGTAACAGCAAAAAAAAAACATCCTTGTTCTGCGACGCGCGCATGACTTACGGTTTTTTGGCTTCACTTTTTTTGTTTTCCCTCAGGACCTTTCGTGCTGATGCGTCAGGTCCTGTTACCTCTTCTTTCCGTTTGCTGTTTCCCTCTCCGCTGGATTGGGGACGCGACGACCTCACCATCAGCACAGGCGGGGCAGGGAGGCAACGAACGTCGTCTTCGACAGTACAGAGGAACGGAAAGAATAAAGGAGGAAAAAAAAGAACGCGAGAAAGAAAGGAATAAACACGCCGTTCTCACGGAGATAGAAAAAAAGAGACGAAATACAAATTAGAACAAAAAAGGGTTTGCCCAATTTATCCTGTTGAGCGGATGCTGTGCACTGCGAAGTAGCGAATTCAGCTCTGTAGAGGCATTTGCCAGGTATATATATATATATATATATATATATATATAA